TATAAACTTGTATAATTCATATATAATGCTTGTACATAGCATGTATAAACTTGTACATACTGCTTATAATACTTATACATACCATATACATAGTGTGTATAATGATAATATATAGCGTGTATAAACTAATACATAGTGTGTATAATTCTTATTTATAGTGTATAAAATGATTGTACATATCATGTATAAACATGTACATAGTGCGTATACTACTTCTATATTGCTTGTAAAACTTATACATAGTGTGTATAAAACTTATACGTAGTGTGTATAATGCTTATATGTAGTGTGTACACTATAAAAAAATAACTTTTAGCAACACTTTTATCTATGTGTCCTAACAAATATATATTAGGGCATATAATGATTTTTGTGCTAATTAAGAGATCTTGTGCGACAAGTCCCCACTTCACCCCGCACTATCTCAAACTTTCCCCTTCCTCTTATTATTCTTTCATTTTTCTCAAGCGTGTATTCATCCCGAAGTCGAATACATGATCGTTGCCGCTACATTGCCGATCGAGGCCTCCTCTTCTTCTTATTATTTTTTTCATCTTGCTCAAGCACAGCATTTCTGATGCGGCATGCGTGCGATTCATCGATCGCTGACACTACTTCAAGACAGCTGCATTTGGTAAGTCTTCTAATGGCTTTTAATCTTTTTTAAGCACAATATGCTTTATTGATTCCAATATATAATTCCGATTATGTAGGGTTCATAAAATATTCTTGTTCCCTCTTTTGATTTTCTAATGTTCTTGAGGTTCTTAATTTGCAAGTTCTGAACAATCTATCGAATGTCGTAGCAACGAATGCAAATTGTTTTGTATATAATAAAAGGTTAATCTTCGGACCTTGTCATTATCTTCTCAATCGCTAATTTTGAAGTTTATTAATTAGGTCATTGTTGTGATTTTAGTTCATTTGAGTTAGTTGTTGGATTCATTCCATCCTGATTCCACAAAGGTGTTTACGAATTAAGGTACATAGGCAATAGAGTAGTGAAATAAGGTTATAGAAAATAGACTTATAATGTTTGTGTAAATATTTACCCAAAGTCAACCGGTAAGGAAAATTGATATAATTTTTGTCGGAGGATTATAATGAAAAAAAAAAGACAGTTTCAAGTTATTGAGGCTTTTTTATGTTGTGTGTGAAGATTTGCGAAAATTAGAATTAGCATGTCTAAAACATTAAGAGGACTAGCCAAGATGCTGATTAAGCCGAACCTAGTAGTTGGGCTTAAGGATGATGATATCATGGTATAATATTAAAGGTAGCTTAATTTGCTTGCAAGGTTTTATTGATGACAAGCTGAATAAAATGCTGAAGGCTGCACTGGAAGTGGATTCTATCTTGGTGATGTTGAAGGCTGCATTGGAAGAGGATTCTATCTCTGACTTAGCTTCAGATGACAAGCTGAAAAAAATGCTTGGAGAACTTGATGCTTTGGTTAACAAAGCGTATGAACTACTTGGAAACTTGTATCAAATGATGAGTAAAGTTTATTTTGTAGTGAAGTATCATCTTTTTTGTCTTGATTATATTCCTATGTGATGATAATCAATTTGTAGCTGTTTCTATTTAAATTAAACTTTTATTATTATTAACTGAAAACATTGTGCTATAGGGTTCTCAGATGCATATTGTTCATTTGTTCATCGCTCTACTTTTTATGTGGTTTACACTAGAAAGGAATAAAATAATTAATACAAGCAAGGTTTTATCATTGGTATCATTGGTTGAATTTCCTGGAATAAGAAAGATGAATCATTTTTATAGGAGTCTATTTCAACATGAAAAAATGCATGCAGTCTATGTGTTTCTTCTTTCCATGCATTTTCTTACCATAATTTTCTTTGCTGGTTACTGAATAAATGACCATAATTAAATAAAATTATTGATAGCCCGTTAAAGCATGCTCTACGGTTTTGGTTATATCATTTTATTTTAATATTCACTCTCCTTTTCTTTTTTGTTATGCAGTTATTTGTCAATTAGCATTATACACACTATTTACAAGCATTATACACACTGTATACAGGTTTATTCAAACATTATACACATGCTATGTACAAACATTATACACACTATATATAAGTTTATACAACCATTATGCATACTATATAGAAGTTTATACACACTATCTGTAAATCATATACACACTATGTACAAGTTTATACACACTATATACAAGTTTGACATGCAATATAAAAGTATTATACACACTATATATAAGTTTATATACTATATGTATAAGCATTTTATGCACTTTAAAGAAGAATTATACACACTATATATAAGTTTCTATACGTTATATATAAGCATTATACATACTATGTATATGGTACGTATAAGTATTTTTTATACTATGTATAAGTTTATACATGATATGTACAAGCATTATACATGAATTATATAAGTTTATACATGCTAAGTATAAG